TCTGGCAATAGGGGCAGTGGATAACTAAACTGTTGCATGCAAGCTGTATTTTTGTGTTGGAGTAAGACTTTGCAAACTAATGCTCATTAGGGTCAAAAAGCCCAGGGATGTGCAAACTTCAGCAAAATGAGTGAAGAGGTAAATGTGTAAAACAACGTTTTTGACTGGTGAAATTTTGTAACCATTTGTTACAAAACAGTAAATGCATTTTGTCCTCACAGGCTCCCATAGAAGGAAACATGGCATTTAATATGGCGTCGCTTAGAGACTTAGATCCCCCTTCCATGTATTTTAGACCTGATTTTTATGGTTATATTTTTCAAAGCCACCAATTTTTTCCAACAACTGGGCATTGTTTAATGAATTTAAACAACATTTTGGTCGATTTTTACAGAGTAACAGTAAAAACTACACAATGCCACTTTAAAGGCAAAGTAAAGGCAAAGGCCACATGGCCTAGGGAACAAGTATGTCAATTAAGGGTCCCTGTCCAGGGAACTTCCCCATGGAAATCCTCTATTCTTAACAGTGTGGGAAACATTTGCAGCAATCTCTGGTAGGAACCAATGCCTTGCAAGCCATACTCGGGACTTAAAAAGCCCAGAAATGCTTGGATCACAACTGGCAAGCCTGGTGCAGCAGAGAGTGGCACTCCACAGCAGGATTTGGAGACATATTTCCCGATATGTGCCATATCACCTCTGATAGGATAACAGCAACGCAACTCTACCACTCACTTGCAACAACGATGTCCACAAATAACACAAGCCTGGAGGAGTTTTTTCTGTGTGGTGGTGTTGCTAATGCTAAAGGTTAGCTTCTATTAGTCGGGATGTTTCTGGACGCTAAATAAACAAAAGCTTTCTCCATCGTGAGTCAAGGTGGGTGAGTCCATGAATGTTTAAGTGACAGTGTGACGTAGTTCTGTCAGGCTTTTTCAAATCCTAGATCTTCACCGTCTGTTTTCTATCAGAAGCTTCATGTTCAGTCTGCATGACAAACTCAGAGTGAATGATCATAATCAGAAATTATAATTACAAAGTGGTTTTTCCAAGTTCTACACCTTTGAGAGGTGGCTAGACAAACAAAAGCCATGAATCATGACAGTCTCAAAGCATTGATCATAAATGAATGGAATGCGACATGGTCAGAAACAATGCTCAGATAGCCCGTGGCATTTAAACGATGCCCAATTTGTACTAAGGGGCCTAAAGTGTGCCACGAAAACATTTCCCACATCATTACACCACCACCACCAGCCTGCACAGTGGTAACATGGCATGATGGATCCATGTTCTTGACCCTATCGTTTGAATGTCTCAACAGAAATACATCATCATCATCATCATCATCATCATCATCATCATCATCACCTTTATTTATAAAAGCACTTTACAGACATATATTATGTCACCAAGGTGCTGAACAAGACTAAACTAAAAAAGATAAAAACAAAGAATATATAGGAAATCGAGAATCATCAGACCAGGCAACATTTTTCCAGTCTTCAACATTCCAATGTTGGTGAGTTCGTGCAAATTGTAGCCTCTCTTTTCTATTTGTAGTGGAGATGAGTGGTACCCGGTGGGGTCTTCCGCTGTTGTGCGTGTTGTGGCTTCACAAATGCTTTGCTACATTCCTCAGTTGTAACGAGTGGTTATTTCAGTCAAAGTTGCTCTTCTATCAGCTTGAAACAGTCGGCCCATTCTCCTCTGACCTTTAGCATCAACAAGGCGTTGTCGCCCACAAGACTGCCGCATAATGGATGTTTTTCCGTTTTCACACCATTCTTCGTAAACCCTAGAAATGGTTGTGCGTGAAAATCCCAGTAACTGAGCAGATAGTAAAACACTCAGACTGGCCCGTCTGGCACCAGCAACTATGCCACGCTCAAAATAGTTTAAATCAGCTTTCTTTCCCATTCTGATATTCAGTTTGGAGTTCAGGAGATTGTCTTGACCAGGACCACAACTCTAAATGCATTGAAGCAACTGCCATGTGATTGGTTGATTAGATAATTGCATTAAGGAGAAGCTGAACATGTGTTCCTAATAATCCTTTAGGTGAGTGTGTATATAATAAACTTGTAATCATACTTCAATAACCATAGTGAAATCTGTCTAGGATCTCAAAAAATGTTCCATTCTCAAAATGGTGTGTCATGGCTGAAATAGCTGAAATTTAACCCTCTGGAGGCAGGCGTTGCAGATTTGCAACAGTTAAAACCCACCTACCTGGTTACTCCACATACGTACTTCATGAGCATTTTTTAACTCAGAAGTACCCCTGAAGGACTTAGTTGGTCGTCCTTTTATCTAAACTTATTTTGAGCATGAGAGGGTTAAACTAGTAAAGCAAAACAGGAATAAATCTTTCCACAGCTGCTACACTAGTTGAATAGTGGTTTAATCCAAAAAAATAGTATCAAATCTAAATGTGCACAATCAGTTGTCCTCTTGGTAGCAAAGTTACATCACAAAGTCTGGCAGTAATTCATTTCTTACCTTTTATTTATTTCTAGCACAATGACACAGATGCCAGTGAGTTGTTTCCAATTATTCCATGTAAATTATGGATTCCTTCTTTTAATTTGTTTGACTGCTCAGATGTTTGCAACTCATAAATATTCAAAGTAAAACAAATATTCTCTCTACAGGCGATTTTACTTCTGTTTCCTACCAGTGCCAGATATTTAGATAAGTTTTGCATGTTTGCAAAATTGGGGTCTTGTTCACGAGTGAGGGTAGGAGGGACGCCTCCCTGGGCAGGGGTTTCGGGCATGTCCTGCCGGCAGGAGGCCCCCGGACACGGTGGAGAGGTTACATCTCCAATCTGGTCCGGGAACGCCTTGGGGTCCTGCCGGAGGAGCTGGTGGAGGTGGCCGGGGAGAGGACGGTCTGGAGCTCCCTAGTTGGGATGCTGCCCCCGCGACCCTGGCCTGGATAAGCGGAGGAAGACGACGACGACGACGATGTTTGCAAAATATGTTATCTGTTGCCCATCCCACCTGACTTCAGCATGCGCCCTTGCTATTAGATGGTCCTCAGCTTGAAGCAGAATGCAAAACCAGATTCCACCTGTGGGACCTTGATTGGAGCAATCCTGTGTAATTCAAAAATTCTTCTCCACATAGAGAGAGCAAAAGAGAAACATGTAAATGATAGAAGACTTGTCATTTGTCACTGTCATAACCTCGACACGCAGGAAGGAATAGCAACCGAGCCACGGTGTGTCACTTCCTGTTCGAAGATACTCCGTCTTTGCCCAAAGCTGTATAGCTGCCAAGATGAATGCCAAATACTGTTCACACACACACACACACACACACACTACTGTTCACACACACACACACACACACACACACACACACACACACACACACACACACACACACACACACACACACACACAGAGTTATTATTCACAAATTGAAATGTGTGAGCAACAGTCAGCCTCACACATATGCATAAACTGAATTAAGTCCATTTGATGAGACTGAAAAGATGCAGATGTCAAAGAACCCTTTGCAGTTATGTAATACCTGGCAGAGCTGCTGCAAGTTTTATTTTAGATTTGTAAATCAAACATATTTCTTTACTCTTAAATGGTCGCATTTATTATTATAGCACATATTATAGCAACATTAGAAAATATTATAAGAGGAGAGTTGCACAAGAGAACGTTCAATTCCAGTACCTTTCCAAGTCTTTTTTTTTTATATGATTTTAAAATTGACACTGAGACTTCATCTAGTATTAACTCCCATTATAATGCCTGGTTTGACAAATAAGTATTAATTATGAGTTATTTTAAAACAGCGTGAAGAAAGGTAGAAATAAAGTGATTTTAATTGAACAATTTTGTTTAGGAGGCTGCAGTAACAGATGCTTAAATGATTAATGCTCAATACTCTTTTCTATATTTGTTCTGTGTGTAACTCCATAATCCATTACTTTTTTTTACATAGGACAACTGTGTGAAAAAAACAACAACAAGGTCATGAATAATGCTTAAATAACAAATAGAAAGATAACTTTGTGGCAGAGCGCCAGATAGGAGGTGCTGCTGGCTGTCCGACGAGGTGCACCAGGTGCCAATTGATAGTCAGCCGGAGGATGGAGTGGAGAAGGAGCAGATGCAAGGAGCTGGTGTGGTTCTGAGTCTGCTGAGGAATGGGACCATGACCCTGAACGGGTTAATAAGGCGAGTGAGCAAACAGAACTGTGTTGTGTTGTACGTGTGTGCGCCCCGGTGTAGCTGAGACTGTCACAAACTTTATGAGCCATAAAGGTTGGTATTTGGAGCAAGAAATGTTATATAAATGACAGAAAATGGTGAATCATGTGAATGACCGTGGATGCTTTTGGGAGATGTTCTAATGATTTGTCTGGACGGCTGCTCATACTGAGCCAGGTTCTGTTGGAGGTTTTGTCCTGTTAAAGTAAAGTTAGAGTTTTCCTCTCCACTGTCGCTACATGCTTGCTTAGTATGAGGATTGCTGCAAATACTCTGACACCAGTCAGTGCAATCTGCTACATTCCACATAGGAAACGTTTAACTAACTGGCATAATGAACTGAACGACCAAAAAAAAAACACCTCAGTTGGAATGTTTGTGAAGTGCCTTGAGACGACTCGTCATGATTTAGCACTATAACTGAATTGAATTTACTCTGTAATTGGCCAACATGTAGCCAAGGTCATTGATGTTTTAACAACAATAGCAGCCAAAGTTCTTGTTTACATAAAAAACAACATAGGATCAACAGCTTGTTCTTGTGGCATTAACTCTGCAGAAACACTTTCGAACATTCGGTGCAGTTTTGGTTGCATTTAGGACCTGAAAATTTCTAATAATATTTAAAATCACAGATCTTGATCAGTTGAGATTATTTGAAAAATATGGTTTTCCTGAATTCTTTAGCAACATTTGTCTTAGAAATAAAGATTCATTTTTTTTTAGATGCATTTCCATTACAGCAGAGAGAGACGCAGACATACCTTTGACTGAAACTGTTCTCCTTCCTGTGGCAGTGCAGGGTAACGACCCTGTGACCTTCACTCCTGACATCCTGGCTGACCGTCCACATGACCGGGTTACTAGCTCTCGCTCCAAGGAACACCACGCCATCCTTCAGCTTGACCCTGAAACACACAGACATACAGCAGTTAAATACATAGCAGTAAACTGGAGTGGAACAGCGACCACAGCACACAAATATGTTTCAAGTATTTTGAAACATTATTTTTCTTTTCGCTTCAGCCCACTGTGCTTAAACTGTCTGACACAGACTGAAAAAACCCAACAACTTTTAACCCTTTTTTCCTTATTATTTCCTTAGATTAACTTCATATATAAACCTTCTGCTCCATCCCTGCTGTCACCAAAGCTCTGTTCATACAAATTCACTCCAGACCTGAACTTCTCTTAACACAACTCAGCACAGAGAGAGCATGAAGTAAACCTTGCACTGTTTGCTCTTGTTTAAAGGTCTGTATGGGAACGGATCAGGGATGTCTGTAGGGAAGCAGTCCTTTTCTAGGCATGGTGCAAAACTTGACCCCGAAACAACATCTCTCCTAGATCTAAATGAAGGTTTTAATTAGTAAACCTGTTGGAAACAACTTCCTCTAGTGCTCACATGCAAGAATGCTAGAACTTAACATTAGAACGTCCTCTCAGTTTTGTCCAGAGCAACTTTTTTAATAAATAATTCTGCATGACAGTTGCCTAAATCCTTCATTGGTACAGAGTTTCAATGCTGGTAATCAGCAAACCCCGGGACCCCATCATTGGCTGTCATTCTGCTTACAATGAACCTGACCGTGACCCTTCTCTCCGAAGATGGAGAACCCACATGCAGGTGGCTGATTTTATGGGTGGAGCCTAACTTATATGAACCAAGGCCACCAGGTGCTCATGTTCAAGCTCTCCTCCAATGCCTGGCTCCAGGATGGTATCCCAGTTACTCATACCTGGGTGGACTGCAGCTGAACGAGGAAAAATTGGGATCAAAGTCAGATCACTTAATTGCTGACTACTTCTCTAGGTTCAGAGTAAGTCTCTACCTTCAGAGGAGGAGTTTCCCAGTGTTGTGTTTGTGGCAGATGGATGGGAAGAAGTGAGAAGGGATGACAGCACTGCTCTGGCCTACAGCCCAGAAATCAACTGAACTTAAAGGGAGAAAGATTTGATTTAGTGAGCTGTCCTCATTCCTTCACTCATATCACGGGACTTGATTTGTGACAATAGAATGGAACAACCATGATACAAGTGACTGATATCAACTTCCTCTGCAGGGTAGTCTGGCTCAGCCTTACATATTGGATGAGGAGCATCTTCTGTAGCTTAAAGCAGAGCTGCTGATTCTCTGACCTGCAAGGAGTCAGCAGAGGTGGTTTTACATCTGGTTAGGAGTTCTCTGTGTCCTATTGTCCTTGGACTTTTTCCCAGCATACCTCACTGGGAGGGGACCCCGAGGTAGTCTTAGAACTCACTCTGGCCTGGGAATGCCTTGGGATTCCCAAAAAGCAGCTGGGGAGTGTTGCTAGACAGAAGAATGTCCAAAGAATGGGCTTCTCTCCTGAGCTGGTGACATCCATGATCCAAACTTGGACATGTGGAGAATGAATGGATGCATAGATGGAATAAGAATTTAATTATAAGTGTAATAAAATGAGCTCACTGTTTCTCTATTTCCTGCATTTTAACTGTGTGTTTTTTTGAATTCCAAACTGTCATGGTTCGTGGTGAGCTGCCTGCCTGTAACCCTGTTTTTCTTCTGAGCATTGTCCGCAGGTGGGCGTGTCTGAGAGCTACCAGCTGCAGCTGATCCCGTCATCAAGGCCCAGGGGACTTAAGGAGCAGTGTGACACTTTACTATGCCGGATGATTACTCTGTTTGGGTAGCTCTAGCCTCTAACCTGTCTTGAACCTGTATCTCTGTCTAGATAACCTGCCACCTGAAAAGATCCCCGATTGTCCTTCCCTGCTCTCCTTCAGGTTTCACTCCACATTCCATCATCTCCAGAACTAACCCAGACTCCTGCACTCCAGACCACACTGCCTCCTCCCCTGGCCGCCCGCTCTCAGCCGCTCACCTGCCCTCATCAACCTCCGCTCCTACATCACCTCTGGATAAAACAGTTTTTCGCCTTCTGGATCTCCTCTGCTCACCCGGACCTGACCGAAGCCCTCCCTGTGCATTCTACCGCTACCAGAAAACAGTAAGCTCCCATCTCGAGACTAATCTCCATAATCCCACCGGATATTCACTCTGTCTCCCTCCTCAGAACCTACTCCTGGAATCCTGCTACCAGTGCAGAGCATCTTCTGTTCCCGTCACTCCTTTAGCTCATTTAAAATAAACTTTTTTATACACTTATGATTCCGTGATTGATTCTGCATATCGTGGGTCAAGAAATTGCCACCCAACATGACACAAACAGAACGTCAGACACATGCCAAGAGTTGAATTAATAAACACTGTTAAAGATGTCATTCACAATGCTTCTCTTCAATTTTTAAGACTAAGTTCATTTTCTTTAACACATTTGCAGGTCTCTTGTATAAATTGCAAGTTGATCTCGGGGGGGGACATAAGCTTCTGCGCTTCTGTTTCAAGAACTAGAAGTTAACCAGAAGAGAGGTAAACCAAAGACAACAGCATTTGGAGTCTAAGGCCCTGTCCACACGCAGCCGGGGATCTGCCAAAACGTAGATATTTTTCTACATTTTGGCCTGTCATCCACATGAAAACGGAGTTTTTTCACACGAAAACGGATCTTTTTAAAAACTCCGGCCAAAGTGAAGATCTCCGTTTTGGGTGTCTGCGTGTGGACAGACAAAACCGGAGTTTTAAGGTCCGCAACGTCACCTTCCGCGACAAAAAAATGCTGACATCACGTGTGCGACCTGTGTTTACACTAGCCGACAGCATGGATGCCCTCAGAGCTGCGCTCGCTTTATCAATTGTCCAAGCGCTTTTTGCTTGTTTGTTTTTGCAAGCGGAATTACTGCTCCTTGCGGAAGACCACAGACGAAGGACGAGGTTAAGAACGGGGGAAGTACTGCCGCCTACAGGTCTGGCATGTCCTTAACAACGTATTTATCCGGGTACGTGTGGACAGAGTTTTTTTTAAAACGCGGTGGTGTGGATGCAAGTTTTTGGAGGGGTGGATATTCGTTTAAAAAAAAAAAACAGGTACATGTGGACTAGGCCTCAGTTCCTGATTTTGGAACATCTTGCCTCTGATTGGCTAACAGCAATGCAGCTCAACCACTGACTCTGCTTTGCAACATTGTTTCATCTCCACAAATCACACACATCTGAAGGAGTTCTGTCATATTGTGGAGTTGCTAATGCTAATGGTTAACTTCTACTAGCTGAGATGAGCTCTGCTCTCTCCATGATGCTAAATCAACAGCTTTTTCCCGTCATGAGCCAAGATGGGTGAGAAAGGTCTGTAAAATGAATACCACAATATATTGAGGGTTTCACCTCTAACGATTAATGGACGATAACTACAGACATGCGCAAACAAAAGTTGTCCACTAGATGGGACTGTTGCATGTATTACATTGAGTCACATTTTTACATGACTCGAGGTGGTACAGCTTCTTAAAGGGACATGAATATTGCAAACCTGCACACACTTTTTTTCATTTTTTTATTAGCAAATTTATTGACATGGGAAAAATGATCACGATAAGAGTCAGAAATTTCACTAACAACAAATTTTTGATTTATTGCCCAGCCCTACTCCTGCTCTATGCAGACAGAATGATAAATGGCCTGTATTTGATATAGCGCCTTCTAGAGTCCTGGAACCCCCCAAGGCGCAACACAATCAGTTATTTACCCATTCACACACACATTCACACACTGGTGGTGATGAGCTACAATGTAGCCACAGCTGTCCTGGGGCGCAATGACAGTGGCGAGGCTGCCGAGCAATGGCGCCACCGGTCCCTCCGACCACTAGTGGCGGCAGACTGAGTGGGGCTCAAACCTGCAACCTTCTGATTATGGGACAAGTACTCAACTCCTGTGCCACCATCGTCTCGAATAAAAGAGGAATGAGATGCTACAACTCATAGATGACTCATTTACTATGGAAGCTGAATCAACTCTTAGTTTTAGAACCAGCCACAAAGCCCCTCTGGTACCAACCCTGCAAGCACCATTTGTAGAAACAACCACACAGACAAACTCCTACAGATTCAATATCATTTATTAAGAACTCTCAATCTCCCAGGCTGTTATGAGGGCCCACTTATGTTTAAATCTATAACCAATGCACTTTATTTACAGTAATAAAAGATTGCATCAATACAAATGATTAACGGATAGCTTTGTAAAATGGTATTCTGGATTCTAATCAATCGGTGAACACAATGAAGTCTAAAGTCTTGCTTTCACTCCACAATAGCCCAAAGTTTAAGAGTAAAAACAGTGGCAGAAAGGTAATTTTCTTCCTGCACCTGGAGTCTTTAAAAGACCATTCCTACACCACCTGTCCGACCATTTTTATCCTGTTATCACTTCCATTATTCATGGTCACAGTCTCTGGGCGGAAATAGAAGTGCTGGAAAACCATGACCTCCCCTTTTTTTCAGGGTACCAAAGCTCTGCTGTTCTCCTCATCTTCCTCTGTCACATGAAATCACCATTAAGTACAACAGCAGCTTTTGGGTTTTCTTTATTCAACATAATAAGTAGTGTTGAAACCTCATGCAAAAATGCACAGGAAAAATAGGTAAGAGTGCATGCACAAAGACGCAATGGAGACAGGGGCATTTCACTTCACTAAAAGATGAATGTTGGGCAATTCCCCTCCCACATCCAAATAACCATCAACTGGTCTAGTTCTGGATCTGTGAAGTAGCTGCAAAAAAACTGAGAAAAAAAAAACCTTGAGTGTTAACAGGGGAATGATGATATGACAGCCCAAGCAGCAGCGTTTAAAGGAACACAGTCATTACATCTTCTGCATTCAACCAGCCACCTTTGATCTTATCACAGTTCTCTGCTGCAGTAATAACTGGACTTGTGTTGGTGGCTGCTCCTGATGAGCAAAGATAAAGGCCACATGCGAGGAAGCTGCAGACACTGACTGAGGGAAGAGGCTGATTGCCCTCTGCC